AAAAGTTCATCCCCAATTTTCCACCCTTGGGGGTGAAATATTTTCTTCAAATTCGCATGAAACCACCCTTTTGATAATACCTATTCAACAAAAAAATAATCGTTCAAATTGATTTATAATCGGCGGAGATATTGCGTATAAAAAAGTTCATCCCCAATTTTCCACCCTTGGGGGTTGTTTTTTCTATTATTAAATTTAAATGGGACCACCCTTGAGGTATTACCTATACGCCGAAAAAAGATTTGTTCAAATCGGTTCATAATTGGCGGAGTTATCGCGTAACAAACATAGAAAAAAAAAAAACATACGGGTCGAATTGAGAACCTCCTCTTTTTTTGAAGTCGGTTGAAAATGTCAAAGCTTGTCAAAAACAAAATGTAACCACTCTAGTTCTATAATGAAACTTTGTTTATCAAATAACAAATTGTTATTCTCAAGGTTAGACTCTTCTTGTAAAACCAAAGTTTTATTAATTTTAATGCGGTCGTTGGTCGAGTCTATTTTTTGTTCTAACAAAAACATAAAAAAATATTTATTTCTTTAGTGAAGGCTGTAACACTGAACAGTAAATTCTCTTGTCCAATAGAAAACCATTGGAGGACATTAAGCAAGGGCCCAAGGACTTAATAGATTTAAGACCGTCGTGGACCGTTCTTACTGTAGATCAATAGCACTACATCTAATAGAATTACATCTTGATAATAAATCTTGAAACTCTACAATGAATTAAATTTAACGAAAATATGACTGCGCTCACGAAATCATACGCAAATTAAAATTAACTTGTCTATTACGAAATTTAATCGTTTTAATAGATCTCGTTTTGAACACGAGTGCATTGTTTGAAGTATAATAATGTTAGTACCTACACGAATTGATAGCCTGGAGGCAAATGGACGTTAAATAGTGGACTATTGACTTTCATAGTATTGAAACTGGAACAGATTTATCGATGTTTATTTACTGAAACTGATTTTGATATTTGGAAATTGTTTACAGAAAATTAAAAGTGTAAATTAATTAATTAGTAACACTTTTTATAGTATTACCTATATCTTTATGAAACATTTTCCATTTCAACGCGGAACGAAACGTCGTTCTTTAATTTCTTTTTAGCAAAATATCGTCTACACTAACATGGGTCGTGTGTGGTGCTCAGAAAGGCGAGAAATTGCTTGCGATATATTCACATTTCGTGTTGAAAATACTTTTACTCGATTTTAAATACCTTCCTATAAAATATAATATAGCACTCCATCAATCGTATGATTATTAAACTTCAGCTGCTTACTTAGTAGGTATTTGGAACACATTTTTATTCTTATTTTATGCAATAATTTTTTTGTGTAATGAACAAAGCGTGGGACGTCCACCTACAAGGTGGATCGACGACATCGTAAGGGTAGCAGGGAAGCGCTGGATGCAGGCCGCTACCAATCGATCAACGTGGAAAGCATTAGGGGAGGCCTATGTTCAGCAGTGGACGTCCTATGGCTGAAATGATGATAATGATGATGATGAACAAAGGATAAAACTAAGAACTTAAGTTACAAAGCTTCCATATGTTTTACATTGTGGTTTTAATACTAGGGTGGTGAAATTAAAAGAATTGCCTGACTCTAGAGATTTCAAGGACTTCCATTCAAGTGAAACATGACATAAAGGAAAATGAAATATCAACTCCAAGTGCTGTTTAATTAAGTTTCCATTGATTTAACCTAAATAATATTATGTTTGTCTTTGGGAGAGAATCTTAGTTTCTAATAGTTCAATCTACTTTAATTACAATTCACCTTGCGGCCAATCAAGAATCTATTAATCAAAATTCCCAGTATGTGACACGAGTATTATAGAAGACACGAGTTTATTGTATGACACGAGTATAATCGAAGCACGAGTTCGTAACTAAATTGGAATCAGAGTTAAATAAATAATCTGTTTTTGGCAGAAGTAATACTTTGCTTAAAATTGTTTTATTGAAGTATTTACAAAGTTTATTTGAATGAAAATTATGAGTTCTTTTAGATCTTTCATTGTTTTAAAACTATTCATTGATCAAACAGACACTTTCGACGGATAAAAAGGGTATTTGTTCAAACGGCAGGGTGCTCTTTGTAAGCCTAAACAGTGGGTCATGTTTGAACGATTTACGCCAAGTTACGTTAGAGAGTTTAAAATGTTTGACTTTAATAATGACCCCAAAACTTCTACACGGTGATTCTTTTGATCTTTGTTGAAAGGAAAAATATACCTATGTGAAACTTTCACGAACCGAAAATGTGAAAAATAATTTTAAGCGCTTTGGTTCTCCATTTTCATTGTAATGTAATAGCAGGTAATTAAACTGAAATCTCTTTACACGTCGATCTTCGTGGAATGGAATTTTACCATGACGAACTCAAATATACATGCGAGTATGTATTATCTACGTTCGTCTGAATCTATAATTATTTATTCAGGACGGTAGACGTTTCTGAAGTTACTCTGATTGAGACAAGTATTAGTTATATTGGTACTAAGGTTGTAAAAAGCATTGTATTTATACTACGTAAAATGAAGCAACCTAGCAACAGGTCCCAGAATACGGAAAGTCGTAGACAAAAAATATTGTCTACGTCGGGTCGTCGCTACAGCTTTACTTTTAAATAATTTATTCAGACAGCTGTGACAGTGATAAATGCTTGCGATTAGCGGTTACTCTGTGAGCGTTTAAGTCATTGAGGGCGTATACAGTCTATACAGTGTATTTTATATTCATTAATAATAATAATACGCTATAGATAAGGTAAGCATGGACAAGTAGGCCTAATTTCCTATGACGTAACACGTAAAGTTAGCGGGATCTCGTTCAGGTGTAGGATATTGCGCATATATCACTTTACACCTTCGGTCTGAGTGAAATAGTCTGATAACAACTTGTAGTTTTGGTTCTCAGAAGTGAATAATCTTGTAAGACAATAACTAAAGCCTATTATGTTGTCCCGAGTTGGTTTTGGTGGTAGGGTAAGCATAGCTTAAACATATTTTGGACATGTAACATGTTAGAGCTCCGAAAAGTTTCTATACAATTTAAGGCCTTTGAACTAAATTACAACCTTTCAGCTCTATATTTCAATCTCTGTGGTTGAAGATTTCGGATGAAGTTCACTTCCACCTTCGGCCTGATCATCACTTACCATCAGGTGAGATACAAGCCTAGACTTTCTCGTTGTGGATAAAAAAAATCTAGTCTATTTCTATCTGACGTGTGTGACAAAAAATGTGCTGAGTCAGCAGCAAGGATTTAGGCTCTGAATCACTCCAATAGCCCTCTGGGTACAATATGAATCAAGCTTCGCAAGATTAGAGTACTTTCCCCAAAAGGATGCTAGAGTGAAATTGAAACAAAAAAACTGTTCTTTGCCTCTGACGCCGTTTACAATTTATATTCACAGAAATTATTAAAAATAAAAACGGATACCTTTCTCTACCCTAACAAAGTACCGGCCTATGACTAAATTAAAGGTATCGCATTAGGCAAACGATTGATTCTCGTTTTATCTCAAGTACAAAATAGAACGGTTTATTAGGATCGATTTTGGAAACGAATTTCACAATGTTTACATGCACCGTCACTGGCACTGGTGAAGGTCGCAGGAAGAGCCTGGATGCGGGCAGACCAGGACCGGTCATTATGTAAATCCTTGAGGGAGGCCTTTGTCCAGCAGTGGACATCTTTGACTGAAACCAACGAACTAAACAGGCACCGTAGACATGAGTGAAAGTATCTATGTCTTTTTGTCGAAGCTACTATTTTTGACCGAAAAAGATCTAATAAAATTCTGAAATCCGAACAATATTTAATAAGCGAAGAAAATTTAATACTTCCAAGAAAATCTAGATGAAAATTTGCCAATTTTACGGTTTAGTGACAACGAATTTGAAGACAGTGATTGTAATTGCCTACGAAATTCTGATGATTAAGATCTTAATCTTCATTCTAGAATCTGGAGTTCACCGAAATTTTAGGCCACAAAATGTTAAAAAGTTAAAATCTTAGACATTCCAATATCTCTTATCTCCGACGTCTTTCAAAAATGGCGGATAGTAATTTTATCTAGTTACTATTACTTTTACTGGAATTAAATAAGTTGGGCAGATCAATTAGGTAATAATTATCTTACGAAGCCTGAATAAAATATTTTATCAAGCACACACCGCTAATAATGATGAATCAAAATTCGAGAGTCGAGTAGATAAAAAATTAACAAAAGAATAACGATATCGGTCGTCAAAAAAGGCTGAATTTCAATATTACAAGTAGTACCAATTAGTAACATTAAGCAAAAGTTTCAATGAATAAGACCAATAAAACTTTTTTGACAATCAAAGATTCATTTATTTTGGTATTTATACAAAACCATTGAACACTCTGACTTGATAAACCTTCTGAAGTTATAATATGTTTACAGTTACTGAATAGTAAATACCAAAGACTTGCGGCTTAACAACTCAAACCCTCAAGTAGTTTGAGCATTATAAATAGTCATCTACATTGTAGATTCTACAATATTGAACGGAGAATCTCATAAAAAATGCAACATTGAAATACCTCAATCAATAGAGCATAATAATATACAATCAAGACAGTTAATAAATAGCAACGAAGCCATTTGTTATAATAGGATGATGTCAGATGAATATTAGGTGTTATCATTTTCTTTTGTTGTAGATATTTTTTGAATGTTGATGCCTCATGTTCCTCAAAGGTCATCTACTTATCGTGGCACACTTTGTCACAACTAATGCTGAGTTTGGGAATTTTTTGTATGAAACACTCTTTATTCAAAATATTGTGGGTGCCAAGAAAACTGATTCTATTCTATTATAAGCGGTTATCCACTTTAGAGTGATAATGTTATACAATAGTCTGAGTTGGACTTATCATTTAATAGATGTTCATAAAATAAAATTATTAATTAGATAACGATAATTTTAATCATCATAAATGAGTGTCTTACCTGTGTAACATGTAAATGAAGTTGAAAAGGCAGTTGAGGGAAGCCATCATGAGGTCTGCAAACGACAGGTTCACCAAGAAGTAATTTGTAACGGTCCGCATTCTTCTGTGAGCTGTGAACAAAAAATAAATTACAAATCTACTGTCATCGTCATACTTTAGGATAAATTATGATAGAACCCTATGCTACTTTGTTGATAAAGGTGGATAACCATGTTGAAACTTTATTTTTTTACTAGCGGCCGCCCGCGACTTCGTACGCGTGGATCCCGTTTTACCCCTTCATCTATCTTACGCGGTATAGTTTTTTTCATACAAAAGTTTTTTCCCGCTAACTCCCGTTCCCGTGGGAATTTTGCAATATCCTGTTGTAACTAAGCTTAGAGATTACTAAGGTACCTGCATGCCAAATTTCAAGCGTCTAACTTAAGCGGTTTAGATTTTTCATGCAATTGTTTTTTCCCGCTAACTCCCGTTCCCGTGGGAATTTTGCAATATCCTGTTGTAACTAAGCTTTAAGTTTACTAAGGTACCTGCATGCCAAATTTAAAGCGTCTAACTTAAGCAGTTTAGATTTTTCATACAAAAGGATTTTCCCGCTAATTCCCGTGCCCGTGGGAATTCCTAAGTATCCTATAACCTGCCCAGGAGTACGAAGAATAATTGTACCAAGTTTCGTTAAAATCCGTCAAGCAGTTTTTGTTTCTATAAGGAACATACAGACAGACAGACAGACAGACAGACAGACAGACAGACAGACAGACAAAAATTTTACTGATTGCATTTTTGGCATCAGTATCGATCACTAATCACCCCCTGATAGTTATTTTGAAAATATATTTCATGTACAGAATTGACCTCTCTACAGATTTATTATAAGTATATATAGATTGTTTTACTGACTACTGATAAAATTAAAGTATTTTTAGTTAAGAAACTTATACTGCCACTGCCCATCAGTTTGTGGACTCCAACCCAAACTATGCGACCTCTATCACATTCTGACCGTTACTAATTAGATCAGATTTTGATCTGGAATGCCAGTTTCTGTTAATTAAATTGCCACCAAAACCACAAGAATGTAAATGCTAGTTACAAAAAGTTCTTGGAAAAGAACTTTTGAATTTATGATACGTTTTGTAGGTACCTACAAACAATGTGATTTCTTCTTGATTAAATTCGAAGTTTCATTAAAGTTAAAACAATACCTATTCTCAGAGAATGTCAAAACTGTAAGTCGTAGTTTTTAATTAAAATACGATTAATTATTCGTGTTCAAACCCATTTATCGTGGCTTAAAAGAAAGAATAAAAATAGAATCTAAAGTTTTATCAATTTCAGTTAAAATTATTAACTCCCAGTGTATTTCTGGAAGTCCTTTTGAATGGCAGTCTACCTGAAAAGTGTTAATGAACGAAATGATTATCGAATTTGTCACTCAATGAGCTGCTGAAAATTATTCCCCTGGTCCGCGGTTTTACGCGACAAAAGCGAACTTTATATACTGTTCCCCGAAATTTGTATTCAATCCGTCGCGACGGGTAAATACCCTGCCGCGAACGGTTGTTTTTTTTTTGTGAAGTGTTTCGTTTTATTTACACTTCAGTGATTTTTAGGGTTCCGTAGCCAAAATGGCAAAAACGGAACCCTTATAGTTTCGTCATGTCCGTCTGTCCGTCTGTCCGTCTGTCCGTCTGTCCGTCTGTCCGTCTGTCCGTCTGTCCGTCTGTCCGTCTGTCCGTCTGTCCGTCTGTCCGTCTGTCCGTCTGTCCGTCTGTCCGTCTGTCCGTCTGTCCGTCTGTCCGTCTGTCCGTCTGTCCGTCTGTCCGTCTGTCCGTCTGTCCGTCTGTCCGTCTGTCCGTCTGTCCGTCTGTCCGTCTGTCCGTCTGTCCGTCTGTCCGTCTGTCCGTCTGTCCGTCTGTCCGTCTGTCCGTCTGTCCGTCTGTCCGTCTGTCCGTCTGTCCGTCTGTCCGTCTGTCCGTCTGTCCGTCTGTCCGTCTGTCCGTCTGTCCGTCTGTCCGTCTGTCCGTCTGTCCGTCTGTCCGTCTGTCCGTCTGTCCGTCTGTCCGTCTGTCCGTCTGTCCGTCTGTCCGTCTGTCCGTCTGTCCGTCTGTCCGTCTGTCCGTCTGTCCGTCTGTCCGTCTGTCCGTCTGTCCGTCTGTCCGTCTGTCCGTCTGTCCGTCTGTCCGTCTGTCCGTCTGTCCGTCTGTCCGTCTGTCCGTCTGTCCGTCTGTCCGTCTGTCCGTCTGTCCGTCTGTCCGTCTGTCCGTCTGTCCGTCTGTCCGTCTGTCCGTCTGTCCGTCTGTCCGTCTGTCCGTCTGTCCGTCTGTCCGTCTGTCCGTCTGTCCGTCTGTCCGTCTGTCCGTCTGTCCGTCTGTCCGTCTGTCCGTCTGTCCGTCTGTCCGTCTGTCCGTCTGTCCGTCTGTCCGTCTGTCCGTCTGTCCGTCTGTCCGTCTGTCCGTCTGTCCGTCTGTCCGTCTGTCCGTCTGTCCGTCTGTCCGTCTGTCCGTCTGTCCGTCTGTCCGTCTGTCACAGCCGATTTACTCGGAAACTATAAGTACTACAGTGATGAAATTTGATGGGAATATGTGTTGTATGAACCGCTACAAAATTATGACACTAAATAGTAAAAAAAAGAATTGGGGGTGGGGCCCCCCATACATGTAACTGAGGGATGAAAATTTTTTTTTCGATGTACATACCCGTGTGGGGTATCAATGGAAAGGTCTTTTAAAATGATATAAAGTTTTCTAAAAAACATTTTTCTTAAAGTGAACGGTTTTTGAGATATCAGCTCTCAAAGTCGTAAAAAGTATGTCCCCCCCCCTCTATTTTTATAACTACGGGGTATAAAATTCTAAAAAAAATAGAGGTGATGCATGCTAATTAACTCTTTCAACGATTTTTGGTTTGATCAAAGTATCTCTTATAGTTTTTGAGATAGGTTGATTTAACTGTTGCTGCTACGGAACCCTTTGTGCGCGAGCCCGACTCGCACTTGTTTGTTTATCGAATCAAACATCATGCAATATAAGCAATCTCTCGTGACATTTGTTGCAATCAGCTGCGGTCATCGGCTGAGCTAACAAACCCGTGGGATATACCGAACACAAATGGAGTTAGTAGTCTTAATACTTATAAGCGCATTCAAAAGACCAGTGTGACTCGATAGAAGTTTACGTAGTCACTGAACGGTCATTGTAAATGTCACAGACTTTTTAGAATATCACATCATTTCAAGCGCCCACCAGTAAAGATATGCACTTAAAAAGTTAATAGACACGTTTGTTGCTCTCAAAATATACTCAAATTGGTATGACACGTGTATCAGTATTATTAAACTTTACGGCTTAATTCAATTATTAATTGGTAAATGTCTAGTAATTACTGTCGTTATGAATACCTAATTAAGCAAATTTGGTAACAAAGACGTTACACGGTTATTATACTACAGGGTCCTTAATAATTAAAGGCATAGCTCGGAGGGAGGATCGTGCAATGTGGCATTATTATAGGCCAGTTCAAAAGCCAACTCAAATGCAAACACTGAATAATTGCAATGCAGGCCTTTGTCACTGAGCTAGGATGCAAAACAGTATTATTATAGGCAAATACTACAAGCACGTTCAATATCTTAGTTCAAATTCCTCGAAAGCAGCTCTATTTATCTGTTTCTTGGATCAAATCTGCATTGTATCGAAGATATTTTGCACTTCATTGTATGGCAACTTTTTTTAAGAGAATATTAATAATTTGTACTAATATTACTAATATACTAATTTGTAATACCCATAGTTCCGTTAGCCCTCGTACTAAGCTAAATATGCTTTTGTTTCGGGTGGGCTCACCACAATAATCGAGCGGCGGCGTTTGAACTCGCGTTCTTCGAATGTAGAGTCGATCAATCTGACACCTTTGACCGGCTATCGTGACTCAAAGAATAATTTTAAAGCAATAATATCTAAGTCTTCTGAGTTACGCCTCTATTGCGCGTTAATAAACCTAGATCACGGCTCAGTTCCACAAATAGCGGCTGGATCGTCTCCACGCGCGGAATACACAATTACTCTCATACCCGAACAAACAGGCAGCTGAACGTGTTGACAAGTTGCGCGCGTTCATGAGCACGCGGCGCTTGTGGCCGCAAATTAGGGAAGCGGACTCCATCAAACGTGCGTGGAAATGTTTGAGATAATTTTCCACGGGTGTTTACGGCTTCGTATTGAAATGAAAATCCGAATAACGAGATTATTGGAGAGAGAATTAGCTCTCATTATAATTTCAGCCACAAGAGGTCCACTACTGAAAATAGGCCTCCGTCAATGATTTACAGAGAAGGTGGACTGTGTTCACCTTGCGGGTGGACGCCCTACGCTAAGTACGCTTGCTAGTAAGTGGCCTCCTCTCCAGAACCTTGCTGCCCCATCGGCCGTCAATTCTACGTTCTTTACCCTACTCCATTGCTACGTCTTTTGATTGCTAATCCGTTTAGCTTTCTACTTTTTCAATACTCTCATAGTCATAAAATATACAAACAGGCAGCGGAACATGTTGACAACTTGCGCGCATTCATGCGCGTGCGGCGCTTGTGACAAATTAGCGTATGTGAAAGCGATCGTGCGTGGAAATGAATGATATAATTTTCTGCGGGTGCCTACAATTTTCTAATGCTATGCAAATCTATTGCCACAGGACGTCCACTGCTGAATGAGGGCTATCGTTTTTATACTTAACAGTTGGCACCCCTGGCGATTGACAGGACCTTACTCTACAGTGGCGCCATCTTGATGAGTGCAAATGTGATAGTCCTCCTACCACTTTAGCGCTCACCAGTTGGTGCCACTGTCTTCGCTACTAGCAAGTGACAGGACCTTACTCTACAGTGGCGCTAACTGGTGAGCGCTAAAACGATAGCCCTCATTGAGCTGTGGCCTCCCTCAATGATATCTGGATATCATCTGGATCTGCATCATCTGCATCACAATCTGGATTGGCCGGTTACTTTAGGTAGGTTTCCAGATAGACCGGTTAGTAAGGAAGATTTAGGTATCTTTCTGTAACAGACGAGGGCAAAAGTTACTCTTTTCATAACCGAGATACTTAGTTACTTTTC